ATATATATATATATCCTCTCCTCTATTAAAATCTCTCTCCTTTAACCTCAAACATGTGGTTCAGCGGTAAGGGTTGATCCACGCTTAAGCAAGATCAGGGGTTCGAATCCTGCCTTGTGTATGCAGCCGCGTTAAATCTTGGGGCCAGCTATCCCACCCTTTGAGGTGCCTCCAACGTAGCGAGGAGATTAGTCACTGCTATCGGCGGTGGATACTCCAGGGACGAACCAAAAAAGAAAAAAAATCTCTCTCCTTTCTTCTCATCTATTTTATTAAAATTTTTTCCACCATTAAATTTAGTAGATAGATCCTAAAACATTTTATTACAATTTCATTTGATTTTTTAATGATACATATGAAAAAAATTATATTAAGAGAAAAAAAGTACTTTAATGATATCAATATGTCGAAAAGAAATAATCTTTGATTTATTAATTTGTAATTTGTCAAAGTTTGTTTAATTTATATGAGTTTAATTGTTTAATATACACCAACAATTAATATTTTAATTTGTATGTATTATTCATAGATATTATTTTTACTTTTGTTACTAAAAGTCGTTAACTTTAGTTTGATCCTTATGTTTTTAATTAAAAATTGAGTTTTATTTTTATCTTAGATATAAAATTATGTATGAAGGTATATTTATCTTATAAGAGTCAATATGATGAAAAGAAGTTATATCTTTTTATATAAAAAGAAGAAGAAAAAAAACTTTTATTTTTGTTATTTTGACAACTATTTAAACATTAATTATTATTTTCTTAATTATATTCTTATAAAAGATAGAGAGGAATAACATTGCGTAAAATATTAAATAAATGAAAAATTAAAAATTAAAAATATAAATAACTTTAATATAAGAAATATAGGTATTCAATAGGTGAAATTAAATTATAAATAACGGAGTCTTTTTTTTTTTTTGGTTCGTCCCTGAAGTATCTACTGTCGACAGCAGTGACTAATCTCCTCGCTAAGTTTGAGGCACCTCAAAGGGTAGGATAGCTGGTCCCAAGATTTAACGCGACTACATACACAAAGCAGGATTCGAACCCCTGACCTTGCTTAAGCGTGAATCAACCCCTACCGCTGAACACGCTTGGGGTTTCTAAATAACGGAGTCTACACAGTTGGAAAGGAAAAAAAAAAGTTTAAAAAATCTACGAGGAATATCGATTAATTATTTATTTATGTCCTTGGTTTGACTTCCTCTGTACACTTTACCACTTTGCTTCGTTGGCTAACGACAAACCACAACGTGGTACATTTGTCCATTTATGTCACAGATACGGAATTCATTTGTTTTAGAGAACAATATTTTAAAATTTCCACCCAAAACTATTTTTAATACTATTCACTCTGAATTATTGCACCCCATTTATCAAATTCCACTTTGGAATCCTTCATCCTTCATTCATGTCATTTTGGGAAATAGTCAACCATTGAAGCTGGAAGGACATGCTTTTTTTCTCTTTCTTTTTTCTTTTCCGCAATGCCAGCTGGATTTTTTTATGTTTCAAAATAATACTAAATAGGAGATGATAGTCCCAAAACTATCAACAAAAGGTTAATTATATATTAAAAATCTCTATATCAAATACTTTATTTATTTAGTAGTTAATTGAAGTTGAATAGTGTTTAATTTAATTTAAAATTTAATTTGATATAAAATTTTATTTGTTAAATTGAATTAATAAAAATAAAAATAAATACAAAATATTTCAGCTTTGATGTTAACGAATTTTTTAAATAAATATTCTTACTAAAGCAGAATTTTAATGTGAAATGTGATTTGGTTACAAAAGATGATATTATCTTACGGTTTCTGAAGAATCTTTGTATATGATAATTATTTGTCTAGCCATCAATTATTAGTTGTTTAATATGGTCTATGTAATTAGACAGTTAGAAATATATATATATATATATATATATATATAT